GTTTCGTTTTTGGCTGTGAGTTAGGTTCCAATGCTCCATGGAGTTGGGGATGGAGTAAGAGAAGGCATCGCACCAGTGATGCTGCACTGTATCACAAGCGTCTAAAGACTATGATAATCGCTTAACATTTAAGCGGGCCTTCTTCAATCTTAAAAATATCATACTTCTTTGTCACCATTTTTACATAAAAAACATCGATTTTACATGTAAAGGAAAAAAACGCGAGTATCAATTGTTTGATTTTCTCATTCTTCTTTACAATCGTCGTTTGTTTCGTGTTTGTTTGTGATCGTTATTGTTCTACACAGTACTTTTTTTATTTTTTGATAAATAGTTCCGACAAATGACTCCACCCCACCTGATGTTAAGTGACGGTCCAGATGCGAAGATAGCTGATACAGCACTTCTACCTGCCACACCTCAGCCTTTCTTACTCTGCCGGCCTTCATGTTGCTTCTTCACGCCTCTTTTAAAGGATCCCAGGTTGTAAGAGGGAGGGAACACGTAGAAAAAGGCGCGTGAATCTTTAAAGTCAGAATAGCAGCGCTGTTATGGTGGGAATATTCCATTCCTACTATAACAACATTAAGCTGAGGCAGGGTCCTGATTGGCCTTTTCACTCTCCATATTGTTGCTCACTGTTGTTATTTTATTTTTGTTGCTATGTTTATTGTTTTTTTCACATACTTGTGTAAGGTCAATAAAAGCTTTTTCTTTCTTTCTAAAGCTTAGCTTTAAAGTGTTGAGGTGGAATATTTAAAAAAGTATTTTATATATTTTATTTATATTTATTCATTCCGTATTTTACATGTTTTGGCTTTTATTTATTATCAACAACAAGATTATTATTATCCTTTTTTTTTCACTCAAAATTCATAAAATAATATTGAGCCGATAGAGTCAATTTTATTATATAAACATGAACAATTTTATTCTGCTTTGTCCTAGACTAGATAATGCAGAATAATATTAATTATATTGCCTTAACCTCCCTAGCAACATCATGTTTTACATGGAAAACTTGGTCGCTTGCTCCAGAAAAGAGGTAATTTGGCAAAGAGGATATCCGCTTTCCTTTATCCTCTATTTCTGTAACTGGACTTTTAGCCTAGCCCCAAAGTAAGCATAGAATACACTGTACATATACGAGTATACGTACATAGTAAAGATAGAATACATATACTGTACATGTATAAGTATATTTTTATAGAAATACATATTAACATACACTGGAGTAGAAATGCTCCTATTCATCACACAAACATCTGCCCCCACCGGGATTTGAACCCGGGACCTCTCGATTCGGCGGCACCATGAAACCCGGCGTACAAACCACTCGGCCACGGAGGTCGCCGAATTACTTACATGTCGTCACTTATTTACATGCAACATCTCGTGGGAAGAAGAATTGCTGGTCTTAACAATATTGTCTTTCAGCAAGTTGAATCTAGATAACGAACACATAATAGTATGTATTATGTATTATAGCCTATCGATACTGTACCAACAGCAAATCATTGAAGACTTTAAGCCTAAGTTTATATGAAGACAGTTTCGTTACCGTCTGCCTGATTACACGTACCTACGCATTTCAACGTCCCCTTGTTTACTCGTTTATGATAAGTTAAGTCTGATGGCCGTACGATATGATCTTGTTTTGTGGTGCTATAAATGAATGAATAAAATTCAGGCCTTATTCTGATACGATTCCGTAAACTGTGAAGCTTAATTTTGGCAGCATCCTCTTATTTTCCTTTTCCCTCTATATACCTAGATCATGATAAGGATACACTAACTAATTTAAAGTTTAAATTTAGAGATGACTTTTTATTGGGATCGGGAAGCGTCACTTTAGCAGTTATGTTTTTCTTGTTAAAAATTGTCTTGTGGCGGATGTTAGTGTCTATTAATGGTGTATTATTAACCAGTATGTGTTCGGGAACATGAACAAGTGTTGGCAAGTGAAACAAAATAGCGGAAAGTGTCTTTCGACGTTCCTCAAGTAGTCCAGGTTCCAGTAAATCCCCACACATTTACTGAAACATAGGGAAAGGGGGTTTGACTTAACTGCCACTTACTTTGACTTGATTTTTTACTTTGACCACGAGTGTTATAGAATTTGTAAACATTTTAACACTTGACATTGGCTAAATGCACAAGCCGTGCGAAGCCATTTAGAAAAAAAAATTAGAGATCATTATATCTGAATCATATTCTGTTCCCGTAGCACGAGCACCACAATTTACATTATATCATATTTTTTATCGCATCTAACTGTCAAACTCGATAGTAATTTGACAATTGAGTGATAAAAAAGCGTTTATATCAATCGCGGTTTTCATGCTTAGGCTGGCGTTATTATTACATATTTCGTTTATTAACAACAATCACATAATGCTCATTATTAGACTGACGATGATGATGATGATGATGACATAATGCTGAAAGTTGAAGTTAAGGTTGCAATATCAGGAGTATTACCGGCCCTTTATTTACTTTGACTGACCTATTGGCCTCATTCCCTTTGCCGTAGAGCTCTTGAAACCTTAATATGTACCTACCTATTTTAAGTATGCAATCTTCTGTAAGATGGCGTCTACTTTTAACGCAATAAAAAATTGTCCAATAGCTCGAGCCCATGACAGTCTACTTTAAACTAGCCAAGTGCGAGTCGGACGAAAGGGGTTCCTCCGTACAACAAACCGCGAAAGGAAAAATCGTTTTTTGTTTTCAAAACAACTTATAAAGTACAATTAGAATTTGTTGTTTGGGACGTCATATGCCAAAATATCACTTATTTTACTAGTTTAGATTTTGAGATAGACCCCGCAAAAAGATGGTCTAAATTACAACTGCCGTTTGTTATTGTAAATAATTGAAAAACTATAAATATACTAAACTTTAATAAAAGAAAAAAATGATTTTAACCGAGAAATTCAAGAAATCCTATCAAGCCCTAATAAGGTAACATTCTTAGGCCTTTAAAAACCTCGAAGCTGAATTGGAAAGAACGTACGGATGAAGTTTGTGACAAAATTAACATACCCTAGCACGAACCATTATCGAATTCGAATAGTTTGCAAACCGAAATGTCAATGTCAATTTTTATATGGAAGCAGCGGCACAAACTACGTAACGAGAACTAAAAGCAGTACACATTTGATAATGACATTTCGGACTCGCAAACGATACGAATTCGATATTGGTTCGTGCTAGGGGTACAGATTTGCATTCGCACTGTAAAAATTTACAAGGGTGGTAAATAGGAGTACTGCCATTATTGCGTATTATGCATTGTGTTGAGTCAGTGCTCAAATATGGCTTTATTCATATATGGGGAACATTTCAATGTGCTTATTGCAACCTTGAAAATCAAAAAGCGAAATTTAACACCCTGTTTGAAGGTAAATAATGAATTTGAATTTGAGATAAGAATAATTGCAACACGTACTGTTGAATTTTTTGCGGTATTTTCACTATTTTTTTATCGATAATCTATTTATATCGATCCAACAATAAATCAATTTAAGAGAGGTTTTTTTGAGTCAGAGACTAACTCTGACTCAAAAAAAAATAATGTTATTCGTTTAAAAATATAAATTTTTATAATTCGTCCAATTTTTTTTATATGTTTAATTTTTTTATAAAAAACGAAGATTTTTTGGAAATTTAGTTATTTCAGCCGAAATTAAAAGTAAATTGTTCCATTAACATGCTGTGAACTCAATTCGTGTTCAGTGAAGATTTAATAGTAAAAGTTTGGCTTTAACAAAAGCGTGCTGGCAGTTATTAGTTCATTATTGAGGTGTGACAAGTATATTTTTGATGATTATTTTATTAAGTTTAGCACGCGATAACAGGGCGAGCCCTTCGGCGAGGTGTTCTGTTTTGAATGAAGAACAGGAAAATATATTATAAAAATTACGGAAAATAATAAACCATGCAATCAAGTCACGGAATAGATGATAAAGTGGTCATTCAGTATGGGGTAAATATCAATTGACTCTCGGCTTAACCCGATGTGCCGCAGTTTTTAAAGTGAAAACTTATTTAGCGGTGTTGTACACTTTTTTTGTAATGGGTAAAAACTGTTTAACTCGCGTCAGGACACGTGGCCTGATCACGTGACCTAATCGAAATTCGTAAGACGAAAACAATTTATCCGTGTTAGTTTAGCAAAGGTTTTGCTAAACTAACACGGATAAACTTAAACCGTCTTTTTACAAATAAGTTGACTGGTTTAAAATTGATGCTGTCACTTTTGTTTGCTAAAAAGATGTCAGAGACAGCATTAGGTTTAAACCATGACCTACTTTAGTCCGCGTTTTGGAATAAGACGGAAAGAGTGTAACCTATGCATTAAGAACAGAGCTTTGAAACGTATAACTAAATGATCAATGCACTTGTAAGTTGTTTGGAATTTCTGTGCAAGACGGAACGCAAATGCCACCACCAAGTTCCGCTCAGTCACCAATCCGTATGGTGCTACATGACGCGATATTCAAATCGACGCTGCCATTGGTCGCAAAATATTGTCCCCAACCTCTCTTCCTCGAATTTTTTAATACAATATTATAAGCTATAAGAATTTCAAAGGTATCACATCTTTTATTTGAACATCCAAAATCTTAGTCTCAAACTCTGTAGCTAAGCTGCGACTATACGAAACCAAGTACAGGTGGTCGCTATCCGGCATATAGGTATCTAAAGCTAATTATCCCTATTAATTACAAATAAAACAGATTTATCACAGCCAGCGGCCCAAATGTAGGCCCAATTCTCGCTAGTAATTGGGGTGTCGCAACCTTTTGCCTTTGGGGTTTATCCTTTGATCCTACGCTATACCACATTATTTGCGACTGTTTAAGTAATTATTTGTTGCCTGATACTACTGTACTAATATCTGGATGATAAGTTATATGGTTCAACGCTAAATTGGTATTTTTCCCCATTACTGCTATTCAAAAATTACTAATTACTGTGAGACGCTCCCTATAAAAGTGCAATCTATATTGTAATACAGAGTTTAGAGGCCTTTTGTTTCACAAAATAAGCCCAAAACCAACTCAATGATCATGAATTATGAATAAAAATGTATACACAATGAATTCAGTTTTGTCTGAGGATTTATTTGGATTGGATTATTTAATTGGATGGATTATTTTTGTAAATAAGGGCTTGGAATAACGTTGGGAACAACACAGAACACAAACAGAGGTATGTTCTGTGGGGAACAAGTAGGAAAAGAAGCTCAACATTCTTGTGGCTTTTTAAAAATATCATTGTGAATTTTGTAAGCTATTTATACATTTTGAATTATTTGGATACACAGAAATTCGTACTTCTTGTTTGATTAAAAAAATGTTTCCCATACTTTTGAGGAATGCGACTGATCACAATATTGGGTAATTTTCGTGGTTTTTAATACATACCGACTAGTTTGGTTAGTGGGCGCTGGTGGGTCACAGGTTCGAACAAAATGCCTATTTACCTATCTATAGTTAAAGCTTGCCAGGCCTTTACGGGACAGGAGCAATTACATATATTGCCGATTTTTTTTAAATGCTACCATTCAATATAGCAGTAGTATTCGTTTTAAAAAGCTAAATATTATGCTTTAACAGGTCATACTTGAAAATTCAGACCGCATTATATAGGTACTAGGTACGCTTTCTTAGGACAAATTATCTTTTCCTTTAGAAAAACATACTTAAATAACTACCTAGAACCTTAAAATCAAAGAGAAGCCACGTATCCAACTGCCTCTTTCAGTGATATGACTACAGTCGTAATCCTCAATTCTAATATTAGTGGCATATCAATAATATTTATACAGGCTATCTCCCTGGCGAGGTTACATCGCACCGCCACTGGTTCTATTTATCCAAATGTATTTCCCAACAGTAGTCAGTGTTCAGATGCGACTGAGCCATTTACAACTATGTGGAAGACTTTACTTTAATATTTTCGTTGCGTTTTTTAAAACATTCCAATTTCGAATTGTTATGTTCTAATTCGAATTTGAGAAATTCAAGTGATTTGAGGTAACAATTGAAAAAGTTTTGTAAAGTTTAAAATGCTTGTGTTGGAACCTCTTTTCGAAGGAGTCTTATGTTTTTTTTGTGATTGAAAAGTGATGTGATTTCCAAGATGACATCTTTGGGTATTCCTACGGAAGCTCCAATTCACACTATACTGTATACATCCGCTTACTCACAAAAACCTGTAAAGGCAACACCTAAAAAGGTATGTTTTTATTAATTTATAACTAGGTATAGTTTGTTTCTTAGGTTTTCACGCACATCACTCATTAAATAAAACTAGTTTTTACGGGTTAATGCACGAAAACTTTATTTATTTATTGACGTTTGATTTTGTTTTCAGACAATTGAACGCAAATTACAATACGTTTAATCTTGATAAATGACAATGACTATTGCAATGATTGCAAGTCTACAACAGATAATATACTCGTAAATGTAGAGCACAAAGTATACATACCGACACACTTATAGAGCATTTCATATTAAAATGTTTCCAGTTATGTTGAAAAATGAAATCAATTGCAAAAATAACTGAGAAACGTTAGAATTCGTTTGGTTTGCATTATAGCGCAATTAAATTTGGTCCTTAGCCCGTATTCGGTTGCACGAAAGACATTACTCGAATTCGGGCACCCGAAGCAATATTTAAACTAGAATAGGGGCTGGAAGACGGAATCGGGCTTAGATTAAAACAAAAAGGGTAAATACGGTACGCTCATACTTGCATCAAACAAAAACTGATCCCACGGCAGCGCGAACGGGACGGCGAGATGCGCGTCACTGCATTACCGACCCGAACGAAACACCACGTTAAGTTTCAACGGCCGCGGCAGCGCGAACGAGACGGCGAGATCACTGCACTACCGACCAATCACGCGACCAGTACTCGACGTCACTACCGAATAAGATTCAAAACAAACAGCAATTTTTATGAAAAAAATATATTTTATAGTACTTACTTACGAATAAAAAGTGATAATGTGGGTGTTATTTTTAGTTCTTGAGCAATTTGTACTGCACTTTTTAAAAACACACTTAGGCATTGTTTTATCATCTAAACACAAAATATTAGCAATATTTCTTTTTGGGGTTCACATGTACGTCGTTTGCATGTCAAGTTGTGACTAAAGCGATTAGGGTCGTGGACCACAATTCATGCGGATCACTTTTGTGAGGCTAGTGCCGTATCTACCCTTTTTGTTTTAATCTAAGGAATCGGGTAAACTAAAGGAAATCTACCCGAATACGGGCGTACTCGTTTCCGTTCATTTACACTAAGTCGTTTACCCGAATTGCATTGGCACTCGTGTCGTGTACGAGGTTCTAAAGCCAGATTACGAGATTTCTAGCTAAAACCATGGTCAAGGTTATAGTTACCATTTGAGAATTTCAAAAATCCTGACATTTCGAAAAAAGTCCGACCTTTTTAGTCACAAAATGGTACCATTACTCACTTAGTTGCAATGGTATGGTATTTAAATCCATATGTTCCTCTTTTATTCATATTCAATGTAATTTTAAAAATCCGGACTATAGTCTAAAAGTCCGGACATCTCCGGACTAATCCGGACGAATGGTAACCCTAGTCAGGGTAGACAACGGTGCGAGTCCAAACAAAACTTACCAAAAAGGTAGTGTTATTTTACTGTGTTCTTCTATAAGGTAGAGACAGACAGACAGACTGTCTTCCCCAGACAGGCCCGTTCCAATCCGGGAAGAAATCCGCTTTTGTCGCAATTCTCTTAAAATATACCTATTTTGATACCTTGGAAAATAAAGTGATCATTATGTATGTATATAAAATACCTATATAGATACTTCAATTTCCTCTAAAGGAAAAGAGATTTATTCTCCTGCCGCATAAATAAATATTCTTGAGGATTCGTTAAGAGAGTGTCGATACCGGGCAAACCTTTTTTCTTAGCAAACAAAACCGCCGCGCCTTTGAGTGCTCAAGAGCGTAAATTAGAATGGGAAATGCCGGTTTCATTGTCACGTATTGGGTAGGCATTATTTTTGAAGTGAAAACTTCTTTAGCGGCGTTGTACACTTTTTTGTATGGGTAAAAAATGTTAAACTCGCTTCAGGTTAAACACGTGGGCTGATCGCATCATGACACACAATGAAATTGTAAAGGTTGTTGACTTTCAATATATTGGACGAAACATAGTAGGTACCTAATATTTTATTTTACCGTATTATAGTAATAAGTCTCTATCTAGGACGTCCACGTGGTAGCTTTATTGCGAAGAAAATGCATTTTTTTTACAATAGATGTCGCTAGGTGCGCTTAAATGTGATTCATGTAAGTTGATTTTTCTGAGAGATAAACTTTTTTAATGCAATATAAATTGTCATGTTTGTGTACGATAGCGCAATAAATAAATATTGTATTCTACTACATACATGATAGTACTTTTACACTGATAATTAAAGCAATTCGTGCAAAATTATTCCCTAACCATTCCAAAATATCAAAAATGCACAATGTTAATATTCAAGTTTTCACTTCCGGAGTGCAACCCGTCGTTTTTTTTATCTTAGAAAGACTATAATACATTATAAATCTATATATCTTTGGTATTGCTAAAAATCCAAATACAATAACTTAGAAGATAGATTATTGCTTAAACGGGTTTAAAGTGCGTTTTTATTTTATTTTTATACATCAACATTTCGGATCCTTTACAGGCTTCATTCTCGATTAGGCGTGTGTCTAGGATCCTTAAGGTAGAGAAATGTGAGAGGAGGGCGGGAATCTCTTGAGCTCTTATCAGCTCACAAGAAATACTGGCAGTTCGGAGATTCACCAAGCGGACACCAGAAGGTATTGTTCCTTTGCAGACAGTATCCATCACATTTGCAGGTAATATCCTGCCCGAACATGTGAACTATGGTCTATGTGTTGTACCTGTAGAGCAATATATTAAACCTGTTATACAATGTTACAAATGCATGGGATTTGGACTAGAGATGTAACGACTTGACTTTTCAAACCGGTTCAAACCGGTTTGAGCATGGACCGAGTTGAATCGGTTAACGTCTTCGTAAACCGGTTCTACCGTGGCATTCGTTCGTATCGCGCTGCGCGCATGCGCGCCTGTCAATTCTTGTTTATGCCGCCATCCACAAATCGCGTGCGGCTCCTGACGTGCTTTACCGACCCTAATAAAACTTGACCGACCAATACGAACCGACTTACAGCAGCGGATACGGTTAGCGCGCATCGACAATTTAAATACAACAGCCATAACCGACTTACCGACCGAACCGAAATGAAACGGACTCTGGTAGATTTGACTAACTTGACGGTGTAATTTTGTTTTCATTATTATGTAATATGCGACGTAATTGCCCAGCTTCCAAAAAAATAGACCAAATATTATTCCTAAATAGTTGTAAGAAAACTTTTTAATTGTTGTTTGTACCAAATAAAGTTTCTACGACTCAAATGATTTTACAAAAATAAGTTACGTATTTATTATATTGTAGATTATTAAAATTGTATTTTATTCTCAAAGTTAAGAAGTACGGTTTTATGTAATTAATAGAGTTTATATATTTTTTTGTAATTTTTTAAACACGGTATTACATAGATATTTGTTTATTTTTATTTTGACATTTTTAATTCTAATTATTATTATTTGTTTTCATATTTTAATTGTTATTTTTCAATTGCCTTTAAATATTTGCACGATGTAATATCAATAAAATATGTAGAATTAAAAAAAAATAGCACCTGTTGTTTCGTAAGGTTCATTCGTCAACTCGTCAAACGGTTCAAACCGGTTCAAACCGCGGTTTACTGAAAATTTGGCGGTTCGGTTCGGAAACCGATTTGCATGTATTACTAACCGATCAAATCCGGTTTGTCAAAATTCAAGACCGTAACATCACTAATTTGGACATACCACTAAGTTTTGTAAGCGAAATATTGTTTGTTCTATATGCTCTGAGTCTCATTCATTTAAAGATTGTTTGAATATTGATAAACCACTATGTATTAACTGCAAGGGTGAACATGTAGCTGTGGCTAGGACTTGTCATGTTAAACAACAGAAAATAATTGAAAATCGAAATAAAATAATGAACCGCAATACATTGGGCTCTTACTTTCCCGCTTTAAACAAGTCTTTCGCCAAGGCAACAAGTTCACGACGTCAGCAAATGCAAAATACATCTAATATCAGTAAAGAAAAGAATGTTTTGTCTGACGTAATAAATAACGATAAAATACTTAAAGCTATCATTGACACATTGTTAATGTTTTGTAGCAAAGACAATAGCTTACCGATTAACTCAGCTTCCATAAAAGAAATGTTTATAAAGAATATTACACTTAGTCATAATGGATAGTAAGCCTTTAAAATTATACAACACAATATTCAAAGTTTTAAACAAAAATCTGTTTTTATTCGTCAGCTCTTGGATTTAGAAGACATTGATATTTGTATTCTCAATGAAACTTGGTTAAAAAAAACTGATTTCCTAACAATTAGAGGTTATAAAGTATTTCGTCGTGATACTGATAATGGTTATGGCGGTGTTGCCATTTTATGTCGAGAAAGTATAAAATGTTCAAAAATACCTACCAATAGTACAGACAAAATACAAACCTTAGCCGTTAAAATTGAATTAAGTCATTATAAATTAATAACAGTATTGGGTGTATATTGCCCTCCACGAAGCGGCCGTTTTCCCATAAATAGCTTAAAAAATATAATAAATTCATTACCAATGCCTACATTAGTGATGGGCGATTTTAACGCCCATCATACCGCTATTGGGTCTTCTACGAATAAGCCGAGAGGAATACAGATATATGATATGTTAGACGAGCTCAGTATGTGCATATTAAACAACGGTCAATCAACAACGCTTGCACGTCCCAATCAGTCAGCATCGGCTATAGATATTGCTTTCATTTCACCGGCTCTAGCAGCTTCGGCTGAATGGTCGGTCTATACTGAGGACAACTTAGGCAGCTATCATTTCCCTACAGTAGTCATGTTAAATATAGATCATAATATATATGAGGATACAGTACCATTTGAAAAATTTGTTTATAAAAAAGCAGACTGGACTGGATACACTTATAAATCTCAGATTTTCTTTAATCATTTATTAGATGTGCTAGACCCTCTAAAAGCTTATGAATTATTTTGTAAATTATTAAATAGCCTTAGAAACGAATTCATACCTGTATATAGAGCCAATAATTTAGGACAAAAACGTCATAAACCTATGCCCTGGTGGAACGAAAGTTGTTCTAATGCAGTCAAAGAAGCTAAATTAGCACTTTACATGTACAGACGATTCCCATCTATGGAAAACTACATTTTATATAAAAAATTAGAAGCCGAAAAAAAACGTTTAATTAAAGAACAAAAGTCACTGAGTAGGAAAAACCTTTGTTCTACATTTGATAGAAACACACCTACTAGTAAAATTTGGAAGTTTATAAAGATTTTTAACCGTAAAAGTTTTCTTTTAATGACCACAACACACATTTGAATTTACCTTTTTCGGAAACTGAGTTTCATTTCTCTTTGAATAACAAAAAAGATACTTCTCCAGGACTCGACAACATTCCGTATATATTAATCAAACGTCTTAGTTCACCGGCAAAGTTAGTATTACTTAAAATATTTAATAACTT